AAGGACCGCGAGATCATGACCTGAGCCTAAGTCGGCCGCTTAACCGACTGAGCCACCCAGGCACCCCTGTCCTATGCTTTTTTTGATATAGTATTCATACAAACACTTTACATTTGTGGGAGAGATTAACAATGACTTCATCCTGTGGCAAAAATGAAATGGTCTGTTGGTATCTACACATCGGATCACTAGCTAATCTTCTATCCTTTTCATCTCTCACTCAAGAAAACATAGAGTGATGTCCTTATAGAAATATCCTGGGTCCCTGTGTAATACATCACACTGGTCAGTAATTGTTGTTTCAAAGACCTGTTTTAAACAAGGAAAGCAAACTCTTCTGAAAGATTACATGATTCCTCCAAAGTCATATACCTCATAAAGGTAGACCTAGGACTGAATCCCAAACATTTAGATCTTGTTTCTAATGTTTTTTCTCCTCCATACAAAAAAGATAGGGTTACACAAACAAATCCACCTGGAATTTTTCCTGTACTGGCTGATATCAAATCTTCCCTAGTTACTTGGCCGCCATTTTCACTTCTCTGTAAGCTTCCTTTAATTCCTGCTATATAAGCCACCTGGGAGTGAGACATTCATCAACAAGGGGGCTGTTAGATGTGGAAAACAAACTGTCTAGTGGTTAGGGAGTATATAGAGTTTAATTTCACTGCAGCTGACTTCAATAGTCAACGTCATTCAATATGGACACTGCCCCTGGGCATGTGCCACCGCCGTTCCTCTCGGTGTGAAAAATACTGGAAAAACAGGGCAAGTTTATTTTTGGCTGGGTTGCCAGGAGCTGAAGAAACAGGGGAAGTTTGATGGGAGGTTGCTTAAATTTTAAGCTATTTAAATTTTATAGCCATAATTTTATCAATAAAAGAGCTTCATAGCTCAGTGGACCATTGTCTTTCTTGCCTCTAGCTTTAAGAAGGCAGAACCTCCATTTTCAAGAGTCTTTATGACTAAGAGATGCTTGTTTTCACTGCTATTGCAAGAGAACTGAATTACCTGAATGTGATGCCAAGGGTCGTGGACAGCAGTGGTAATAGCCTCTGTCTCTTCTTTCAACTGACTTGTCCAATTTGTTGGCATATAATTTTTCATAATATTCTCTTAAAATCCTTTCTATTTCTGTGGTGTTGGTTGTTATTCCTCCTCCTTCATCTCTGATTTTGTTTATTTGAGTTCTCTCTCTTTTTGTCTTGAGTCTCACTAAAAGTGTCTCGATTTTGTTTATCTTTTCAAATAACCAGCTCCTCATTTTATTGATCTTTTTTCTATTGCCTTTTTAGTCTCTATTTCATTTATTTCTGCTCCAATCTTTGTTATTTCCTTCATTCTATTGGCTCTGGGCTTTGTTGTTCTTCTTCTAGCTCCTTTAGATGTCAAGTTAGGTTGCCTGAAATTTTTCTTGTTTTTTGAGATAGGTCTGTATTGGTATAAACTTCCCTCTTAGAACTGTTTTTGCTGCATGGTGATTACAAATTTTAATTTATATCCTTCTCCTGATCCCCTCCATACTCATATATATTTTTCTCTATTCTAATGTATTTCTGTTATTTTGTCCCCTCTCATCACATATCCTATTCTTTATCTATGCTATGATAAATTCATGCATTGCTATATCCCACTTCTTTCTCATTTCTTTTTCTTTAGACAATTATATACAACAAAGTCACCTGTGCTCCTTTTTTAACTTGGTTACTATAAAGAAACATTTTATGTCTTTCTTAATAACTAATAATATATTTTTAAATATAGCTCCTAGAGAAAAGGTAACTTTCCTTCTCTCATGCCTCCAAGGAGTGTGTGTCTAAAACCTGAGATAGAAACAGCACCAAAAACAAACTAACCAACCATTTAGTGGTGAAGAACCTTGGCCAGGCTACAGGCTACAGAGGGAATCATTACAAAATAATTAAATAAATACATTTTTCTAAAATGGAGACTCCTCAAATAGCCCTGGAATAAAGATATTTGTTTGGTGAGCATCTATTTCTACATCAAGACTCAGCTCGACATCACTACTTTGATGAAGTTTCCCTGAACCCACCATGGTCGGTTTCCATTTCCTTCTTTGTGCCACCACCATAATGCATACATTGTCAACAACATTAATTAAATAGTATTATGCAATGACTTACATGCCCATTTCTGCAACTGAACTGTTGAGTTTCTTCAGGAGTGAAACTAGCTGTCCATCCATCCACGAGACTAAGACATTTCCCAACACAGAGCTAAATTCTCAGAAATGTTGGTTGAATGAACTATATGAAATCATCTCTGAAATTAATGTGGCCCATTGATTAATCTAAGTATATAACCTGGTATTTGGGGTACATTTTTTTGCTGCATATTTATATTCAAATGAAATGAAGGAAAAAAATATGATAAAAAGAGGGAAGGCAAACCATAAGAGACTCTTAAATACAGAGAACAAACTGAGGGTTGATGGGGGGGAGAGGGGAGAGGGAAAAACAGATGAAGGGCATTGAGGAGGGCACTTGTTGGGATGAGCACTGGGTGTTATATGTAAGTGATGAATCACTGGGTTCTACTCCTGAAACCAATACTACACTGTATGTTAACTAACTTGAATTTAAATAAATACATGATAAAAAACAACAACAAAAAAACCCAAATGAAACGAGTCAATACATTCAGTACTTACAACAACTTTAACATGTTTGGAAAGATCTCTAGAGCTTCTCTGTAGGAAATCAGAAAAAGCTGCCTACAACCACAAGGAGAAAAAAGGGGAAAAATAAACTTAATCACATGGTTATGCCAAATCCTTGCTTATGTATTATAGATAGTTCCTATTGCTTCTGAATTATTCAAAAATATAAAACAAGGTTTTTTTTTCTGAATCCAAAACAAAATGCAGTGGCTGTCAAGATGAAAACTTTCTTTGTTTTCAAACTACGACCTATAATACAATTTAAGAACACAGTAGAAAAGTAAAAGAGTAGATAATTCCAAGGGTCAATTTGAAGATGTATTTTGACAACCTTTCTTGACCTCTTACTTGACTATAGGGTGCTGAAATCATCTTTAACTTGCCATTAAGAATGTCTGGCTTCACCCTCTCCCCTTTCATTTCAATTCTCTCTATGCAGTGGTGTAAATTAACTACATTTTCTTTAAAATCAGTGTTTTGGAGGACTTTCCGCCTCCCCTCTGCCTAGCCATTCATCCCCAGGGATGTTCCTGAGAAGAAGGAAACAAGACCCAATTTACTCATATATAAGCTTCCATGAGGAGCTACACCTTCCGTCAATTTCTCATCCAAACATCGATGCATACGTACTGCTGTGCACACCACATTCCGACCCAGGCTTTTCCACGCATCTTTCAGGCTGCCTAACTCCCCCATTCTCTAAATTGGCTTTGATGTTTTTCACATCACTCCTTGAATGTCATCTCCTCAGTCAACATGAAGCTTTAAGGCTTTAAAGTTCAAAGATGATGAACACCAGCTCTCTTTCTACCAACTTAATAAGTATATTTACTTTTAAGCCAAGACATTAAACCTTAAGCATAATATAGACATCCTTGTAAACATCCGAGACGTGTAATTACTTTTAATATAGTTAGTATCCTTATTACCAATAGTGAATTAGTATTAAATAACATGTAATGATTTTAAGTGTAATATATACTTACCCCTGCATAGAACATTTTATTTCGAAAACGACTGTTGAATTTCTCTGGATTTGCTTCTGTAAAAGGAGACAGGTAGTTTTGTTATAGAGACCTCATTAAAGGTAATGGCCTCCATTAGCACTCTTCCTCCCCCTCCCTCCCCACCCCACAGATCCATCAGACTCAAGAGCCTTATCATCTTTTCCTCAGTTATACGCCAGTTGGTAAAGTTGTCCAGTGCTACAAAAGCATAGCCCCCAAATGGCAGCATCAGCATCAATTGGAAGCTTGTTAGAAATTCAAGTTATTAGACTCTGCCCCAGACCTACTGAATTATAATGCTTAGGGGACGGTGTCTAGGAATCATGATTTAACAAGTTCTCTAGTTGATTTGCATGTACATTAAAAGTTCAGACACTCTGGGGTGCCTGGGTGGCTCAGTCTGCTAAGCGTTCCACTTGATTTCAGTTCAGGTCATAACCTCACAGTTGGTGGGGTCAAGCCCCACGTCAGGCTCTGTGCTGACAGTGCTGAGCCTGCTTGGGCTTCTCTCTCTTTTTCTCTCTGCTCCTCCCATGCTGGTGCGCTCACTCACTCTCGCTCTCTATCTCAAAATAAATATTTATTTATTCAGAATAGAGGGTTGGCAGGGACATAGGACAGGGGTGATAGGACACAGGGAGGGTGTTGAGGGGTGATTATTTGCTTTGACTTCTATAGGGCACGTCTTCTATCAACTATTCATGCAGCTTCCAAATGTAATTAAATATGGAAAATTTGGATAAAAATTGTAATAGATGATTTGCTTTTACATTTTTCTAAAACTCCAAACTACCATCTATGCTCTTGTTGGCAACAGGCTTTGAAAAATTATCTGATTTACTGGAGATATATAAATATACATATATGCAGGTGAACTGCTAACTGGACTCAGGACATAGAAGGCTGAAAAGTGGTTTAATTTTGATTTTGATCCTGTTTATCATATAAGTTGAAGACTACAAAAAGGCTAAACAAGATTCTGCATCAGAGAACGCTGACATGAATTCAAGGGATTATAAAATCCCTAAGTGAAGTATTATTTCCTTACATTCTTTCTAGTAGAATTCTGAGACATTCCAAAGGGACCTACTGCCAATGTTTTTCATTCTGCTATTTTATCCCATATGCTCATTAATGTCTTCTTAGGGCAAGGTCTCTCTTCAAATTGTTTCTCATCAGGCAGCTGGATGACTAGCTTAAAACGGTTCAAGTCCTGGACCTATGTTTGAACAGCAAATCTCAACAACTGTCTAGATGAAGAAAATAGCAAAGAGCTCACTCACTAAGATTGGGCAGAATACGAGCTACACGATTTCAGGAAATAATCCAAGACAAGGGATTACTAGGTTATTCTCATGATTATTAGACTATATTATTAGCACATGACAGGGAAACGGGGTGAAAGCTTGCAAACTTTAAAAAGGTAGGATTTTGTACATCGGCTCCTAAGAGTTTTAGTATATTTAGGTTTCTGTATCTCACATCTTTCCTTAAATATTCACTCTGTTCTATTGAATTAAGTACTCTAAACCCTGGAAACAAAATAAAACAAGTTAAAGGCTAACTTGCAGGTTATCCTAAGCGAAAAAAAGATCAAAGTGGTACTAAAATGCTCTATCTCCCTGGTCCCCATTTGTGGACCCAGAATTCACCATTTTTTACAGTCTGGGCCTTTAGGATAAATTTGGCCGCTGAGTAACACTGGTTTTTTGTTTGTTTGTTTGTTTGCTTGCTTGCTTTTACCTTTCTTAACCCAGATTTGGCTGGGTGTCCTTTTCAATTCCGTTAACTCTTTCTTGCTTTTATGGAATCAGAGGCAAAATTAGAATTTTTGTTGCTATGCAATTTATCATGGGTACATAGTCCCTAATTTGAAAAAGAATGAAAGAAATAAAGTCAGATCTGGCTATCAAGCAAGTTATAATAAAGAACTGAAAACAGCACACACATTTCTGGCAGAGTTTTTTGAGGGCACCAACATCCACAGCTATTAAGTAAATTATATATCAACTATTAACATTTACTTTTTAAAAACATTAATTTATGGTTTGGAAAGATTCACATTCTTAAGAGGTTTCCTATGAGCCTAAGTTTTTTTTTTTCTCTTTAAAAAAAAAATAGTTTCATCTCAAGAGAAAGAGAATGCTCTGTAAGACCCAAACAGACTAGAAGAAAATGAAAAAATAAACGGAGTGTTTGGTGATTCCATTGACACAGCTGATGAAAAGAGTCACTTCAGATGTAATTTACCTAGATTAAATTCAATTAATATGCAAAACTAAACAAGATCAAGACACTAGCATTTAAAGAGGTGTCAGAGAGATAACAGTAGGGAAGTCACACATGTGCTTTAGCCTAGAGAACAGAAAAGGTGGAGGTAAATTCTGTTATCTCTCCTCATAGTATAATGGTATCACACTGTGAGCTCCCTGATTGAACCTGCCCTGACAGTTAAACCCTGTTTCCATTTTAATATCTCCCCTATTCCAAATAGCCTCAGAAACAACGGCTGCCTGGAGCTGAGACAGATGTCAGCTAGCTTTAGAGCTTTGCTACTCCTTGCAGAAGCCAGGCCATACGAAAGCAAGGGGTAGCTTGCAAAAAACAGTACTTAATCATTCCTTAGTGGCTCTTAAAGGGTTGAGTGGCTGAATATGTCTACGTGTATGTGTAAGAAATGACAGGTCTTTGAGGAGGACCAAGGAACATAGACGCCAGCTGTATCAAGAAAAGGGGACATACAGAATTGGGACAGGGCCAGGAAGAAAGTTTAAGCATTCTTGATCCTTAAGGGAGTTGTATCTGCTAATTGGTATGAGGTCAACCATGAAAGGCCATTCTCAAGAAATGCCAATAATCCTCAAAGTATACCAAGACTCCAAGAGTGGAAGTATCCGTGGCTTATTGCTGAAGTTCTTTGACTGCCCGTCTTCCTCTTCCACAAGAATAGGGTGTAACCAAGTGAGATCTAAACACTCACTGTGTATGTCTAGGCCATTAACCTATTTATAACCTGTCTGGACACCAACATTAATTGTATTAGTTTTCTATTCCTGAAAACTTGGCAGCTTAAAATATCATTTATTTTCTTATTCTCTGGGCCAAAATCTGGACGGGGCTCTCCTGAGCCCTCTACTTTGGGTCTTACAAGACCAAAATCAAGGCGTCAGTCTTCAGGACTCTTCTCTGGAGGCTCTAAAAAGGATTCACTTCAGACCTTATTCAGTAGTTGGCTAAATCTATTTCCTTATGGTTGAAGGAATGAAGTTCTTCTTCCATGCTGTTGTTGGCTAGGGTTCATTCCCAACTTCTAGAGCCCTCCTGCAGACCTTGGCTTGGGATCCCCTCCACCATCAAAGCCAGCAGTGGCACATCAAGTCCTCACACTTCAGATCTATCCAACTCTGCCACATCCCTCTAACTTCCTGTTCAACTTTCCACTTACCCTTTTAAGGGCTCATGGTATTATGTTGGGCCCACTCTGATAATCCAGAATTATCTTCCCATCTTAAGGTTAGCTAATTATTAACCTCAGTAACATTAAAAAAGTCTTTTTGCCATGTAAAATAACCTAACCAACAAGCATGACACCAAATGGCAAAGGTCATAGAGCCAAAATTCTACCTACCATCACCCACCATCTGGCCCCCATGATTCACATCCTTCCCATATGAAAAACATTCATTCCCTCCAAGGTCCCCAAAGGTCTCATCCCCATTAGGGAATTAACTCAAAATCTAAAAATCTCACCTAAATCTTATTAGCTCAAACTTCTCAAATCTCAACATCTAAATCACCTAAATGATTTGGCTTTAGATATAAGCCAGTTGTAATGATAATATGGCTCTGGGTATAATCAATTCCATTGATTTAATATATTAATCCTATCTTTATGTACAACACAGTAATATCTGTGCCACCAGAACAGGATCCTGAACCCTACTTTTGTCTGTAATTGGTCTGGCATATTAAGGGAGATATTCATAAATATGAGTTCAACTCTATGTTTATGAAAATCAATAAGCAATTTGAACTCCACAGAACTCACAGTTTCCATATTCTCTGTATTAGATATGTACCTAATCTTAAGACTTCAGCTAAGTATACATAAATGATTCCAAAATCTATGCCCACAATAACAACACCACCTTCAATTCAAATCGTATGCATCCAAAAAGATCTTTTCTTCCAATGTCATCTCCCATTAAGGACAAATATTTTACCGACATTATTCATTTTTTAACACCATTGAAAAAAATCTTTCATTATGTATTAATTGGACATCCTAACCCATCTTTACCACAAGCTCATTTGTCCCTATGCTGTCTGAAATGCCCTCACCAACTTTAGCTCTTTTCTACATATATCACACTCTTCCTTTATCTCTCAGCTCCTTCCTACCCTTTCTGGAAATTTTACCCCAATATCTTTTTTTCTGGCAAACTCCTATATTATTTGCTGCCTATACAACTAATCTTGCCCTTACTATATCTTCCTTTCTACTGTTGCCTTTTATATTATATATGGGGCCTATCTCCCAGCTGCACTTTCCATTATTGTAACACTTATTGAGATAGCCATAGACTTGGCACAGGGAATGTAAGAAGATAACGGTCTTTTGCCCTCATGAGTTTAGAGTGGAGGAGATGGGTTTGAAAATCAAAGTAAAACATCACATTTTATATGCCATACACAGATCAGATGAAGTCAGAGTCCCACGTAAAGGGAATGATCAAAAAAGTGTTCCAGAGGCAGGTACACTTGATTCTTGAACGAACAGTGAGTGCCATATAGAGATTTAAAATGGAAAATAATTTTACAGAGAACCTTGGACAGTGAGAGTTTCTCCAGAGCAAATCGTGCTTGAGTCTCAGTACCTACACATGAGACTGGTAGTATGTCCTTTGCAGTGATGATGAAATTTAGCAAGCCACTGAAATATCTTTTTAAGGAAATCTGTTCATTTATGAAACATTCATGATCCTTGGAAACATGCTGATCTGCATGTTTCTGTATATTCAGTGAAAATAGTAAATCTTAAGTCAAATTTAAATACTGCCTCCTCTAGAGTCATAACTGTATTTTCCTGACACTGAAGCATAAGGTTCAACTCTGCTGAATAGGTAATTTCAGTGAGGCAGTAAAATTTAAGCATCACATCTCAGGTTAAAAGTTTGAGGTGCTGAATATCCTTCATGTCCAAAAAAAAAAAAGGACAATCTAATTCATCTACCTGGCAAAGTGAGACCTAACTATGCCACCTGATAACCATAATCATTGTTAACATGGCTATACATTAATAGATGGGAATATTTTCAATGTACTTCCTCAAGCACTGTCATAATGCAGTAATTATTAAAGTTCTGGGCAAGATTCCAACTGACAATTAAATGACCAAGTCTATTACATCTCCAAATCCTGTTCCAAATGACTGCACTTGCTGATATGCAAGCAACAGTTCAACCGTGCATGGTGTAGCCACTTTAATAAGAAGCCATCTCTATCTTCCAATAAAATGAACTAAACCTACCTTCTGATCAAATATAGAAACCCAAATTACTCAAATGTTTGCATTCTTTATGTACAAAGTCAGTCAAAATGTTAAGACTATCTTTATTCCCTGCTTTACTACCAGTAATTCTAAAAGCACTTACACAGTAATGTCACTAAGAAACTATCTCAAATGTCTTTAATTATCCCCTCTATTTGATGGGCTATTTCACATTTATGCCAAAAACTGTTTCAGCAATTACAATTTTAAAGACTCTGCCTTAGTGAGATCTGTATTTATGACCCATTTCATATAGATAGATTAGTATGATTCCCAAATACACACACACACATCTGGAGAAAAAGAAGTAAAATAATCCTTTCACCGTGTGTGTGTGTGTGTGTGTGTGTGTGTGTGTGTTCACTAATACCTAATAGGTTATTCTAACCCAGCTCATTCTTTATAATGGCTCTCATGAGGCTTTGAGTCACCCTCCAACTATTTCATGGCAAATGATACAAGTTTTGTCATGACCCCTCAAACTGTGAGTGTCTGCATTTGAGAACAGTATGAAATCTCAACTCTTAAGTGTTCTTGGCTTGAGAACAGCCAAGAGAATAACCAATGAAATAAGAAAGTCTGCACCTATTGAAAATGTGGCCAGACTATCGTTTCCTTCTACAAGTGAACTTAGATCTCTTGACTATCCAGGTAAAAAATATGGGGAAAATCCAAACAAACAGAAAACAGTAAAAAGTGAGAAGAAGGAAAAGAAGAAAAGGAAGAAGAAGAGGAAAAGGAAGAAGAAGAAGAACAACAACAACAACAACAACGAGGAGGAAAGAAGAAGTAGAAGAAGAAGGAGGAGGAGGAGGAGGAGGAGGAGGAGGAGGAGGAGGAGGAGGAGGAGGAGGAAAGAAGAAAAGAAGAAGAAGAAAAGAAGAAGAAGGAGGAGGAGGAGGAGGAAGAGGAAAGAACAGAAGAAGAAGAAGAAGAAGAAGAAGAAGAAGAAGAAGAAGAAGAAGAAGAACCACCACCACCACCACCACCACCACCACCACCACCACCACCACGGGTAATTATACTTTTCATCATGAATTAATGACTTTGAATTAACGCAAAATGAATAGATAAACAGATATTAAGAAGTCCACACCTCTGGTCTAGGTCTATCAACCAGCAAATCTGGTTCCTGCATTTTGTGAATACTTATTTCCCTATCATCTTCACAAATATTGCAGCCCTTTGTCTCAGTCAACATCAGTTCTCCCCATCAGCCCTTCAGGGGTTGGTTTTCAAGGGCTTGAGCTTCCATGCAGAGCAGATGACTGCAGTTCCATTTCATGCTGCATGAAAGCACTATGCTAAGCCTCAACAATAAACTATTTGAAGACCAATGCTTGGCATCTTGTAACCAATTGTTTTGTAATCACACACATACTAAACGATGTACATATACATATACCACAGTTTGCGTACTCCTCTCTCGAATGAAATAGTCCCATAACTTCAAGAAAAAAAAAAAGAATCACTTTCCTTTAAGAATTCTAAGCCTGGTGTTTCTACCTTGACGTTTCTTTCTGCTTTTTTCACTCTGAGACGCAGAAGTTTCATCATAGTACAAGGAAGTGTATCATTAGGAGATTGTCAGATTAATTAGACAAAATATTTGGCTCCCTAAAATGAGCTCATTGTTTGCCACTTACTCATTTAGGCCTCTTTTTGTGCCAGGATGTCTATTTTGGAAGATTCATGCATTGGTGATAATTATAAGTATTATTAAGAAACTTAAGGATTTTATTAGGAAGCCCAGATCCAGAGTCTCCTGAAGAATATGAGGGAAAAAAAATGGGTTAAGAAATGAGGAAAGTAATTTCCATTTACTTCACCAAATTAAGTCTCCTTAAATACAGAGAGACCAACAGACTATAAATGTGGTCCCTAACGTAGGACTCTGCATATCTGAATAGTTGTCTATGGCAGGGTGGTGGGGGGGTGGTGGTGTTCCTGATCTGGGTATTTGATATTTGTGGTTCTGTAATCAACCAACTTTTCAGAGAGAAAAGTCAAACTATGGCTCTCTCTTTGATCAGTATTGCTTTTATTTCACACAGCATTTGACCTTCCAAGCCTCATGAAAGCAGGAAGGCAAAGCCTACCAAAATTCCTGAATTCAATTTGAGACTTACAAGTTTGGACTTCACTTAGATTTTGCATTGTAACACCCTTAATCCCACAACTTCACTCTTGACCTTTAGTGCCTAAGAGTGTTATCAGAATTTTCTCTGTGTTAATACTAGAATCTGAACATTTGAATTCTAGCCTTAAGGTCTCTGTATTTCAAATTCTAGGAGTTAAAACCACTTCTGCTCTTGAAGAATCTGGAGAAAAAGAAGTAAAATAATCCTCTCATTTATGCCTTTTATCTCACAATGCACTTATACTAACCTGTAGCCGGGCACTATTTTGGTTATATATTAACATATTCACAAGGGACTAGGTACAGACATAGATCCAGGCAAAGACACAGATGTACATATTATATTACTAAGAAGAGATTTTAAGAGAGAGATGAAGAGACACTGAGTGAGCATGAGCACAGAAGATTGGAGATTCAAAACATAAACTCAAATCCTAAACTTTCCCAGCTCTGAATGGCATGAGAAATCTTTTTACGAAGTGTTTAACTCCTTGACATTATTTCATCTTATCTCTTTCAAAAGTGGTTTTGTTCCCTAATTGTGACCCCATCTCTTTTAGCCCTTGAAACTACTACTGGGTCTCATTCACTCCTCTTTCTCATCCGATGGGTATTCCCCGCACCTCTGCAACCAATCAAATCACCACCATACCATTTCTTTCAACCCAAACCACCTATCAGTTTCCCCTATTGTTCTAAAATGCCTTTTGTCTCTCTTACGCACACAGAGAGGACTTGAATGTTTTTGCTACCAGATTTCAATGGCCCTGGTTTATATGAAGTGTTGGACTTTAACAACTGGTGTTTCCGGAAGCTGTGAAGATCCTAATGACTCTAGTGAAAGAATCTTCATCACTTCCTAGTAGTTCACTAACTTCAAAGTTTCTAGTCAAACTTTAAAATTAGTAGTCCGAGACCTGGAACGTACACCTAGTGCTGTCCTTTACCATCTTTGAGACTCTAAATAAGTGGGTCTCAGGGACCTATTTGAAAGAAGCTCCTATCTCGCTAGCTCCCAAGGTTGCCATGAAAGTTAAAATGAAGCAACACTGAAGCCCACTGTCAACACCTAGGTGATATGCAAACAGAAGGGAACATGCAAAACACCTGCTGGAAACTTCCTCCCTGGGAGATGGAAATGGGACGTTGTCCTCACCTCTGGATTCATGGAACTCCAGTGTGACGTGGGCATCAAATCCAAGGCTGAAGTAATTATTGAAAACATTCAGAGGAAGCTGCAATGATGAACAAAGTAGAGGTGAAGTGGTGTGTAACCAGAGTCAAGGAAAGCCTGATGCCAGGCACCTGTCTCTGGAGCAATCCCTGGGAGAGAGAGAAGCCGTAACCCAAGGGACAAGGTTTTGTGTAGAAAGAACACAGATTTTTGAATTCATTAGCGAAAGCTCAAATCAAATAACACTCCCAAGGATGTTAAATAGGATAGGAAACAAGTGACACAAATGCAAATTATTAAATGAGAACTGGTCTTGCAGATATTAGTAAGAGAGCCAAATTCAGCTCAAGGAAACACATGTACGATAGTTACAAAGAATCGGGGCGCCTGGGTGACTCAGTTGATTAAGCATCCGACTTCAGCTCAGGTCATGATCTCACAGTTTGTGAGTTCGAGCCCTGCATCAGGCTCTGTGCTGACAGCTCGGAGCCTGGAGCCTGCTTCAGATTCTGTGTGTGTGTGTGTCTCTCTCTGCCCTTCCCTTGCTCATGCTCTGTCTCTCTCTCTCTCTCTCTCAAAAATAAATAAACAGTAAAAAAAATTTTTTTTAAGTTACAAAAAATGATTCACTAAGTGGGGTGCCTGGGTGGCTCAGTTGGTTAGGCGTCCAACTTGGGCTCAGGTCATGATCTCACAGTCTGTGTGTTCGAGCCCTGCATTGAGCTCTGTGCTGACATCTCAGAGCCTGGAACCTGCTTTGCATTCTGTGTCTCCCTCTCTCTCTCTGCTCCTCCCCTGCTCACTCTCTATCTCAAAAATAAATAAACATTAAAAAAATATTTAACACTAAAAAAAATTTTTTTAAAGAATTAATTCACTAAACGAACTTAGAGAGTCGATTCAATTGCAAGGATCATGTGCAAGCTACTTAATCAGAGGATATACTTTTTTGAGAATTTATGTTCACCATATTAATATTGCAACTTAAAATGAATAACATTTAATATGCTTACCCTTTGGTTTTTTAAAATCTATTTTTGACATAGGTCATAAGCAATTATGCAGTGGTAAACATTCAGCTATCCTTGATCTATAGGGAAAGAAATATACATGTGTATACATATTTGTCAGTATCATCCAGATTTCTATTCAGTCTATCAGACCTTGGATCTTTAATATGATCATGAAACATGCAGATACACATGCAGGGACATACACAAGCCTTCCTAGAGTCCTCTGGGTCCCTGGTTGTTAGCAATGCCAGCTCCGTAAACGAGAGGACAATACAAACTAAAATCCTTCATCAAAAGTGCAAAATTCATGTGCTTTTAAGGCTTCAATGTTAGAACAATCAGAAAAGCATGTGGAAAGTGCTAGAAAGGAAATTGTAGTTCTTCCACTTTTCCTTCGGTAGCTCAGAGTGGAAAGTAAATGTTAAATTAAATAGAGAGGCAATTTTATCTCAGCTTGGATAATGTTTCCAGATAATTATCAGGTTTAGACTCCAGACAGAAATATACTTGTCTTCTGTTAGAAATAAGTGTTTAACCCTCAAGATCCCAAAAGTAAGTTTATTGCACTGTTTTATGCGTCCCTTGATCAGCAAGATTTTGTTTGACTAGAATGTGGACCTTGTCCCATTAAGAGATAAATGAAATGAGAGGGAGAAGAACAGAAAGAGATATTAATACAGAAAAAAAAAAAAACACAAAAAAACAGATTGCCTTGGCCTCCAATGGAAGAAAAGAATGAAGGCTCCCCACCCCCAACCCCGATGGGAGGTCCCGAGTCAGAGCTTGTAACAATTCAGAGGTCAAATCGGCCCCCTTAGAAATGGGTACAACTGAGTCGAGAACAGGGGAGAAAATAAACACAGAGCAGTGCCAAAATCATGTCTTATTCTCCTGGCTTCATATTTGAGAATGTCCAGTTCCTGCACTTAATCAAAATACCAAGCCTCTGTAATGAGACCAAGGGTTGGTGATCTTGCCAAAAGCACAGATAGGTTCATCTCTACCATTTACGTTTTCTTGGCTACAATTGTAACCCATGTCTTAGCATTCACTGATAACTTGGGAGAACATTTGGTTACCATCCCCTAAATAATACCCCAGTTTAGTCTTTTATTAAATTCTTGTTCCTATTTTTCAGGAAAAATTGCCTCAATTTTCCACACATCTCAAAAATCCAATTTTTCAAAGCCCTTTAATTATCTGGATTAATGTTTCCTGGCTGCACCAAGGAGTCTTTCCATTTCTTAAGCTGTCAGGAAGAGATGCAAATAGAGATTTCTCTTGAGGGCCTAAGCATTCTAAGATTGGTGGAGAAAGGACCTTAAATTTCCATACAATTATTTTCACTTTGGCTATTTTCTACCCAATTTCTATAGGTCGGATACATTAAAAAGTATCATGGGGCGCCTGGGTGGCGCAGTCGGTTAAGCATCCGACTTCAGCCAGGTCACGATCTCGCGGTCCGGGAGTTCGAGCCCCGCGTCGGGCTCTGGGCTGATGGCTCGGAGCCTGGAGCCTGTTTCCGATTCTGTGTCTCCCTCTCTCTCTGCCCCTCCCCCGTTCATGCTCTGTCTCTCTCTGTCCCAAAAATAAATAAATGTTGAAAAAAAAAAAATTAAAAAAAAAAAAAAAGTATCATATCCCAAGATGATACCTGCAGTTTAAGCAACATTGTGACATTATGAATAAAAATCAACTAGGCAGTCATGGTATCTACTAGAAACCTTATAATTTCTGGATCATGGTTTAGGGGAAAAAACATGAAGAGAAGATAAAACGTATTTTCACTTACATTAGCCAAATAAGAAACTTGAGTGTTTATCACAATTGGTTAGGATCATGGTGTCGATAAATAAATAGATTTTGGTTGGGTTCAAAAGGATAGCTGGTTCAATTTATTTTAAAGCAGCAATGCCCATGACAATAGAAAGAAAGAAAGAAAGAAAGAAAGAAAGAAAGAAAGAAAGAAAGAAAGAAAGAAAGAAAGAAAGAAAGAAAGAAAGAAAGAAAGAAATTAAAGAAAAGAAGAGAAAATAAAAAAGAAAAGAAATACCCAAGACAATCTTGACCTCAATCAATGGCATAATCCAATAAAGCAGAGATGTCATTTAAAGTACAGATTCCGAGAGCCACCTGGGTGGCTCAGTCGGTTAAGCATCTGACTTCAGCATCATCTTCCAATCCAGGAGTTTGAGCCCCCATGTCGGGCTCTGTGCTGACACTCAGAGCCTGGACCCTACTTTGGATTCTGTGCCCCTTCCCCGCTCATGCTCTCTATCTCTCAAAAATAAGTAAACGTTAAAAAAAAATTAGGGGCACCTGGGTGGCTGAGTCAGTTAAGCTTCCGACCTGGGCTCAGGTCATGATCTCACGGTTCATGAGTGTGAGCCCCACTGTCAGCACAGAGCCTGGAGCCTGCTATGGATTCTGTGTCTCCCTCTCTCCTGACCCTCCCTTGCTCTCTCTCTCTCTCTCTCTCTCTCTCTCTCTCTCCCTCTCTCTCAAAAATAAACATTAAAAAATTTAATAAGAAAAATTTTTTTTTAAATTTAAAGTACAGATTCTGAGGGGCGCCTGGGTGGCGCAGTCGGTTAAGCGTCCGACTTTAGCCAGGTCACGATCTCGCGGTCCGTGAATTCGAGCCCCGCGTCAGGCTCTGGGCTGATGGCTCAGAACCTGGAGCCTGTTTCCAATTCTGTGTCTCCCTCTCTCTCTGCCCCTCCCCTGTTCATGCTCTGTCTCTCTCTGTCCCAAAAATAAATAAACGTTGAAAAAAAAAAAATTAAAGTACAGATTCTGATCCTTCAACCCGCATTTACTTCAGCAGAATCGATGGAGACTGGGCCCCATAATATGCATGTTTCAAGGACACATGTGGAGTTTCTTATGCATGAAAAGCTTTGTAAACACTCTCATAGAAGAAAAGTGGAAAGTAATATGCAAGGAGAGGTTACTTGGCAACCTGTCAAACTTATACGAAATTGAGGTGGGAACTTCGAACCAAATTTACCACCAAAACTCTGCACTAACATGTGTACAATTGTGTCTCTTCATTTGTCTTGGGTGGAAATGAAAGCTTCATCACTGAAGGAAAAATATGAAATCAAAACATTTATTTAGGCATCTTCAAGTCCCAACCAAGTGATGAAACTGGCTCAGTTAATACTTCCTAAACGTAAGAGATATTTAGTATCAGACAAGACATCTCAGGAGGTTATCTTTCTATCAAAAAACCATATGCCTAATGCTTCAGAATATCCATATTTTTTCACCATCCCATAGGTTCTGAGATGCAGTGCTTGAGAGATCAGAAAATGAATATATGTATTTCTGGTGTGGAAGACAAGGAGTAGGAGATCTCAGTCTTTAGAAGTCAATGAGGCAGAATCATCGAGTAGTGTTACACTCCTAGCCCCAGTGGCCATAAACTCAAACATTATCCTGTTATCTCATAGGAAGGAATCAGCATATGATTCTCCAGCCAGGAGCGCATTTCCTGTCACTCAGGCACATGCTCCAGGGTTCCTCTCTGCTGAAGAAAGAGCTCTCTCACCTTACACACACCATCTTCAAGTTCTTCTGGAGGCAAGTCTGGGTTTCTTTCCACGTGGAGGTTCCAGCGATCCAGCTGTACAATTGTCCCATCTTCGACTTGGCAAAGGATCTTCGAAACAGGTTCATCAGTGTAGCCCTAAGGAATCAAAAAATACACCCACTGCCATCTGGAGTAGCAAACAGTACAGCCAAAGGTATTTCATGCAAGCAAGAGCCCTTCTGCTGTAGCTCTGTTTATTTTGCGATTAGCAAGGCTGGGAAAGTAAACTGTTTTCCTTGAAGTACTTAGAATCTAAGACAAAAGTCGCAGGTAACGTGCATAGAGATACTGCTCTAACTGGTTTGAGCTGAGTAATTTTTGCCAGCACCAGGAACCAGTAGTCACCGGTAGGCATTTGAGGGCCATGCTGGATGGCTGCTTCCATCAGAGTGACAAGAGGACTCCCCAGGTCTCCTACTAGAGGAATTTGAGAGACACATAGGACAAGTATGTGTGGAAAAGGAGGAAAGGAATCCAGGTGGCATATGAGAGACAACTTTTTCAATTAACATTCCACTTCACCTCCCTAACCTTGCAGTGGGACACCGTTCTTTCCATGGCTGAAGGCAAGTCTGTCTGAGGCACAGCCCTATTATGCAACCACTTACTACTTGAGCATGTATTTACTGGCAGCATGATTATTAAGGACAGTCAAGTCTCTGATTTGGATGCGAGGAGTCAACAGTGATAAATATATTTACATGAAGCAACTAATTTATTATCATTTATACTATGCTCACTGTAGGAGGTCAATTCACCCAATGCCAAATTCATATCTGCTAATATCTGAAGAGAATTATCACCTAATGGAGGTTAATTCACCCAAAGGTCAATTTCATATCTGCTAATATCTGAAGAGAATTTTCATGGAGCCCAGTCCAATCTCTCATATGAGCAGATAAAAAGCTGGTGGGGCTGCATATGTTAGCATATTGTGCCTCCTTACTATCTTAACACTGTAAAAATGTTAATAAAAAAAGCTGGTGAGTGACAGGTAAACTTCTTCCACTAAGCTTAACTAAAGTTGGCTGTATGGTGGGAAGGACAGTTGGCTATCCGTTTCACAAAGCCATGATGACACCAAGCAGAAAAACAAAATGCTCAATAAAACCCGTAACTCTCTTAAACAAAGGACTGTAATCTGAACCAGATTTGCTCTTCTGGCCAAGACTGAGGGTCAGGATCAATTCGGGTCCGTGTGCTTGTTTTACATAAAGACTTGAGGCCAACCCACCCACCACCTTTCAATGGATACCTCAAGAAGCCCCAGGCCTGTGTACTAACCCCCATTTTTTATACCATACTTTCTTCTCTAGATGATTCTAAATTTGAACTGAAGAAGGTCCCGGATAAAACCATGAAGCAGGGGCACCCTAATTCTCCATTCTAACTTATTCTTTGGACAACAGTAGCATATTCCCCTTCCGTTAGAACATCTGTGGATTCAGGGACCCTTCTGCTTGATGGCTTGGGTGGTCCCTGAGAACAGTTCTTACCCCTCCCCAGTTGAGAGTTCGAGCCAGGTCGTTCCCAGTTCCCAGTGGAAGGACCCCGACAGGAGGCTGAGGGCTCAGCTGCAGTTCATCCAGAATAGAAAGGATCCAGCCCACCTACAGACATTTCGGGGGCCAGAAGAGATATGAGAAAGATAGGTAAGTTACAAAGACAACCTGAGAGAAGGAAGCTTTAAAAAGCAAATGATATAGTTTAATTTTCCTTTAAAATATGTACGATTTAATCTGGTAGTCAAGAAACAGACCACTTATCTCAAACGGTTTCAAAATGGTGAGTCCCTAAAGGGAGAAGGACCATTTTGTTTATGCTGTCATATAAGCAAAACTGGACCCACTCATCTGTATGTTTAACTTGAGATCTACCTTCAAATTTAGAACAGTTTAAAATCTGGGGAGGTTTACAATATAGGCATTGGAGACAATACAAGACTTACAATCAGACTGAATTTCAATTTTGGTCACACTCGCTACATAATCTTGATTAAATTATTTAACCTCACTGAGATTTATTTACCTGATTTTCAAAATGGAGATAATGCCTACCTCACAAGACTGTTTACAGATTAAACTAAAATGCATATAAAGCCCTTAATATGGTCTATGTAAGCACTAATTAAATGGTTACCCTCCATAACACCATCTTAGAAATTAGTAGCATTTTCCTAACGATCCCCATATTCTCTGTAATGAAACATTATGAAAACATAATTATGCATGGTCCTAGTACTTATTATAAGTTCAGGCAGAAAATAGATACTTATATACTAGAATCATATTCCCATTTAATCTTTTTCTAAGATAAATAATACTTTAGGTTTGGTCTTGCAACTATTTAGAATAATTACCCAAAACCTGGAAATGGAGAAAAGAAACTTGCATATCCTCACAAAGTCCTACTAAGGTGGCATTTTACAGGCCTAAGAACTTTATAACTGTAGGCTAACTGGAATATTTCTGTCCTGTGGATACACAAAGGTCGAGAATAGAAGATTATGTTAAAGGTTATGGTTTTATTCCCCCATATGGCCATAAACCAATTTTATCTCACATTTAGAAAAATTGTTTTGGAATAAACTACATAATCCTTTCCCTCTACTTCTCCAATAAGTCAACTCTATCATCTTGCTGGATGCGAGGAGCTAAATAAATTTGAGCTAAGCTCTTCGTCAAAGAACTAAATAAATTTGACATGCATTCATTCTACATTTGTATGAGCCCTATTTTATTTTTTTAATAGTATGTTAACAGTATATGTAGTGCACACTACATATAAAACACAGAACTAAGTAACTGAAATAAGATGAATGAGCTGGAACAAGGTAAGTTAGACTGGATGCCTGCTCCCAAGGAGCTTACAAGGAACAAGGAGAGAGACAATCACTGCTTTCCATGTCCTGATTTCTGAGCAAAGTTCTCTTATTAAACTTCAAAATGACTCTGTAAGGTAGGTAGAAGTCTCATCTCCATGTAATAGATAAGGAGGCCAAAACTTGGTAATATCATACCCTTACTATGGTAATATCATACCATTTATGTAGTACAGATCGCATTCAAAATTAGGTATGCTAAACCCCAAGGCTGACCTCTTAGCCACTCTGGGACAGAGAGCCTTTCAGTAAAGACCCAAACCCCATTCCAGATAGGGCCTGACCATGCTGAAGACATACTTTTGGAATCTCTGGAATGCTGGAGAAACCTTAGAAATTGCTCAAACCAATTCAATTAATTTGAAGATTTATTAACTGAGGTGCAAAGAAGTCAAGCAATTTGCTCAAGGCTAGATAATTAGGAGTGTCAATGTCATGATCTTATCAGGTCTCTTGACTCCATCTAAAATCCTTTCGCTACCACAGTATTCCTTCCAGGATGTAAAACTTGACCGTCCATCAAGAAGCCTGAAATTGTGTTTACCTTCTAGAAAGGCATACCCCCGTGTTCACCCAATATGGTGAACTAAAAATCCAGATCTAAAGAAGTGTCCAAAAATCCCTCCATTCCCTGGGCAATTCCCTCCCAGACAACTTCTTAGATTCTGACTTAACACTTTCTTAGTTGTCTTACACACAGTACAAACAAAGCTTGCTATTGAAGTGTGAGAGGAAAAAGAGTCAGATGCTAAAATATATCTGATGACTATGCTAGATACCGTTCTTGCTCAGCTACCTGTGCACAAACACAGTAGAAGCAGATCCCTCTAGTAAACTACAAGACACGAAAACTCAGAAATCCCAACAATCAGGGGTCACTGATTGCAGATGTAAATAGCCCTGAGAACTAGAGACTCAGAAATGCAATGGAACCCTAGAAATTCGAACTCAACATCCCATATAAAGAAGGCAATCTCTTTACAACTTTTCTAAGAGATGATCACTCTGTCTCCCCCTTATGAACTGTACTCACAAATCTGTCTACTTTCTTTCAGGTAGATTTAAATTGGAAATTTGTTTCTTATGCATAGTTGAAACAGGTCTCTCTTTTCTTGGTAAGGATAATGTCATGTGTTCATATTTCCAATACCCAATGCACTCCAGACACAACGATAGGAAAAATAAATCCTCAGGGACCAGAAGCAAAGCAAACACAAAATGGCACGCAGATGAAGCCAGGAGTTTGGCTTCTGTCTGGTAACAGGGAGTAGAAGTTCACCCCTCCTGACAGGGGCCATGTATGAATAAGGGTCCCTCTTGGCCAGCGGGAGAGAGGCTGGAAAAGAACGTGAGAACCCCTGCCTGAGGCCACAGCCCAAAGACAGGGGAGACCCCTTGCGGCAGGAGGGAGAAAGCCGCCAGCAGTGGGCTCACCTTCCCCCTGGCTTGCTGATGTACCTCAAACATCCAACACCTCCTCAGGATGGGTGCCTTAGTCACCTAAGGAAAACCCACTCGAGTCTCAGAGTGCTGGAGACCATGCAAAGGACTAGGAAGGGATAGTGACAGGATGCAGAGAAAGAAAAGGGAAAGACCAAACACAACAAAATAACTTCCTCTGAAGAGGACCCTGCAAAGAAAAATTCTAAATCGCAGGAAGAACACTAATACCAAGATGGACGGGAAGAGGAAGGATCAGTCCACAGTGTGTGAAATACAAATACTTTTCAAATAACTGAAATGAGTGTCCTGTAATTTCCATGAATTGATGGGGTATCTTCTTAAAGAAATTTTTTAATGTTTATTTATTTATTTTGAGAGAGAGAGAGAGAGAGAGAGAGAGAGAGAGAGAGAGAGAGAAACCCCAAGCAAGCCCAGCACTGCCAGCCCAGAGCCTGACACAGGACTTGATCTAATGAACCATGAGTTGGACACTGAACTGACTGAGCTACCCAGGTGCCCCTGATGGGGTATCTTCTAATCTTTAATCGGTATAACAGCCTTCATCCAAATCTTCTTAAGCTGTTGCTGTTTTCTCAAAAAAAGTTGCCAAGAATCCACGCCATACTGTGATATAGTTCCTCAGAATGGCAGGAGCCCTCCGGTCCCCTGGATTTCTCACCATCTCCTTTTCTCTCACACTTGCCCTAACAGAAGAGGAAAATGTATAACTGATTTGAATTAAAGGATTTCCCCCTTTCTTATTCAATGATTTAAGAACTGCATAAATGTTAAGAGTGCCTCGGTGGCTCAGCTGATTAAGCGTCCAACTTTGGCTCAGGTCATGATCTCACAGTTCATGAGTTCGAGCCCCACATCAGGCTTGCTGCTGTCAGCACAGAGGCTGTTTCAGATCCTCTGCCCTGTCTCTCTCTGCCCTTCCCTGGCTCACGTGCTCTCTCTCTCTCTCTCAAAATTAAATAAACATGATTTAAAAAGAGGGATGGGCAGCTACTTATCTCCCTTGATCAAGAATTGCATAAATACATTCTACTTTCTTTTTCCAATAGCCAAATATTTTCTTCTGAATACAACCAGGTAGGTTTAGTAACCCATTATTACCTAACCTTAGGGTCATCAAATGTCACCTGCCTTTCATAACCAAGATGTGTCATGAAGTTCTCTTAAGTGCCACCAGTAGGCTAGTAGTTCTTTTAGCAGAGGAGGGTCTGGATCTTTTCTCATAGTCCTCAGTAGCGTTTCTCATCCATGAGCTACAGTACTCAACAGCAGCTTCCCCAAAAGGCAACAGAACGTAGGGTGTAGGGAGACAGAGCTCAGTGAACCCCGCTCCATCATACATGGGCTGGGTGAGTTTAAGCAAGTGACTCCGTCACTCCAAGTTCTCTCATCTGTCTCTCAAGCCTGTTAGGGGTATGTTATCAGTTAAACACCATGTAGACATTTCTTAGCTTGGCAAATAGGAGATGCTTAATTAACATTAGCTGCTGTGATTAGGCTTTATTTTTCTTCCTCTTCACTTCCTCTATGAAGGTCCAGTTTCCTAGAAGCAAAACGCCCTCTTCCTTTTTCTCCGCTTAACGCTGAACCTCAAGTTCACAAATCAATCCCACCTTTGACTGCCATCAATCACAAAGTCTTTCACACACTATCAAAGACAGAAAAGCCAAGCTGTACTGAAGCAGAGAGGTGCTACAAAAGAGGAAGGGATGGGGGAGAGAGAGAGAGAGAGAGAGTAAACAAATACACTTACAATAGCAGGAGACAGAAAAGACCTTGAGTAATAATCTGTACCTGTCCTTATAAAAGCAGAACTATACAAAGGATCTTCAGGCCCAAAGCTGTTCTTGGGGCCTCTCGCTTACCAGCAACCTGTTCCTTCTGGAAGTCCAGGCTTCAGGTTCTTAGCAGGGATTATGTTTGCTAGGCTATCACATTTCCCCCAAATCATCTCCACCAGCTCATCCAGCACTCCTTCAGTTATATTTAATTAATTGCAAAACGGCACGTGGCACATTTTCCACCACAGCTGAAGAAAACTATCCAGATTGGGTGAAATCATTTCTGAGTTCGCAAGGTTCTTTCCTGCCTTTGTGTTAGGAGGAGCAGGGGTGAGGGATCTGAAACAGCACGGTCCTGGGCTCTGTCCCTGAGCAGCCCCACAGTACTGTCCCCACAAGCTGGCCAATGCTGCCACCCCTGTCCACGCTATGCTTTAGCTGTCACTGCACGTGTCCCCAGTGCACTGCGAGCAGTATTTTCACTCTG